ATTGAGAACGATTTTGCTTTGTTATGTTTTAACAGAGATTTGGAATTTTGGTTGTATCTTTTGTAAAACATATTTATAAAAATAATTACGTTAAAAAAAAACAACGATATTTTATCATTTGTAGATAAAAAATAACTAAATGAATCGGAGAACATGTAAATCACGGTTTTTAAATGAATATATGTTTCATAAAAAAAGTGATAAGAAAATGATTCAAAATGATAAAAAGAAAATCGTATATTATAACAAAAAGATGTTTACATGAGTAGTGAATTAGTGAATCGAAAATTGTGGCAATTTTAAAAAACATGTTACCATGATTGAAATAAAATCTTTAGAATATTTTTTACTTTTAGTTAAGTTGCATATATTGCATAATTACATATGAAAAAAATAAAATATTCAAAGTTCAAATAGGCGAGTTATTTATATGTATATAATAAAGTGTACAGTCCAAATAAATAAATTTTATTTAGCACTTATATTGTTAATATTGATACCGTGATTATTGTAAAGTCCAACTCTCAATTTTATGGTAAATTTATATTATATTAAAATAAATTGATAAGTCTAAAAAGAGATATGGATTGAATTAAAAAGATTGAATTGTGGTTAAATATTTTGATATCATAATTATACTATTTTTAAAAAGATATTCCATAACATTTGGTTCCATAATAATATTGCTTTTAAATATAATTGATTCCAAATAGCCGGATTTAGTGTTTAATCAAATATTATGGAATATCTTTTTAAAAATATCTAATTATTAATTTATTTTTTGTTTTTTATTTATATTTTATTTTTATTTTTGCCAATTAACAATATTATGTTTGATCACATTGTGCACGCATATAATTTTTTAGATATAAAGTTGTGAACTTAACAAATATCTTATGTGGTTCACAATCCATATAAACAATTGACATTTGTCAAAATTTATGTGATAACAATATTTATGCATTATAAATGCTCTTATTTTGTTTTAAATAATTTCAAATATACTTCTATCCATTTCAAATAAAATTCATACTACTTAAATTCGAACATTTCGTACCAAAAATAAATCACCCACTTTATACCACAAAATCGGACATTTATTATTAACAACACATTTTCTATGAAAAAATAAAAATGGCTTTAGATACTTAAAATAAAATCATCAACTTTATACCAAAATTAGATTTATTAGTTTTGTCAACTTTATACCATAAATTAATTAAGTATTTCTAAAAGTCATTTCTACATTTTGTCCAAAATATTTTTTAGCGGCACATAAATATTATTTATATTTTTGTATTTGGTTATCTTGTCTACGAATAAAAAGATAATATTGTAACTCTACTATGCCAACAAAAAAATGTATGAAAAATAACATAAGTATTAATTTATTATATTTTACTCAATACAGAAAATATAATATAGATATAAAGATTAACTATTAATTCTCTATAATTGCTCAATCAAGTTTATATATTTAAACTAAAGATTTCGAAAGTTTCTATAATACCCCCATATTTGTTTCCATAAAACTAAATCATCCGAAATTTAAATTCAACTAATAAATGTAAAAACCATAAATATTTGTTGTTAATTTACTATTTTTAGACAATAATTAATGAAATTGGCGAAAAAGTATTTTTAAAAATGAATTATGTTAATCCTTATTATATATTAATAGATGTTTATTATTTATTTGTTTTCTCATGTGATATAATCTAAATTTGGTTATTAGATATTTAAACTCAAACATTTAAGGAAAAGATCACAAACAGATTTTTTGGGTACATTTCATTTTATCTTAACTTCCATATAATTACATTCCTAGCAAACTAATTAATATAATTACATTTATCTAACTGGAAGTTCCAAAATATAATTAATATAATATTTTAACTAATTACTCTTTTGTCTAACCGAATTTATCTCATTAACAATTTTGCAAAATTTTTTGAAATTAAAATAGTAAGATTATTCTTACGGGTATACTTACCAGAATATTAAACACTTTAAAACCTTTTTGAAAACAAATTTGAATTATTCCGTCTTTTACTCTATTTGAAATTCAAAATTAAATTTTTAAATATTTCATAAACATTATTATTTAACTTTTCCTTATGTGACATAATCTAAAATTTGGTTAGATTTTTAAATTCAAACATTTAAAGATAAAGACCACAAAAAGATTTTTTTGGTTATATTTTATTTTATTTTAACTTTCATATAATCACATTCTTAACAAACTAATTAGTATAATATTTTTTATCCACATTTATATAATGGGATTTCTTAAAATATAATTAATATATTATTTTAACTAATTAATCATTGGTATTACAATTTTGATTTGTAAAAAAAATAAAAAATAGCTTTATTTTAAAATCAGGATTCTTTCCATAATTTTTTTACATTAATAATCATATAATTATTTTTTTTTTAAAAAAAAATCAAAACCGTAAGGTTTAATAATATTCCTTAAATAAAATATATTGTATAAAGAGAAGTGGTTAATAATATATATTTTTTATTGTTTGTATTTATTTTATTTCCATAATAGATGAGATGTGAAAAATATAAAGAATTATATTTAAAATAAAGTCTAAATAAGGTTTAAAATATGAGCTAATCCGTGCATAACACGAGATATACACTAGTTCTAAATAAATACACCCTTAAGATATTCTACGATGGGACACCAACAATGTTTTGCAAGTAATTTGAGTGGTTCAAGCATCGTTGGACCGGATCGAGGTATTTACACACATCATACGATTCAACATTAAAAATAAAAGCAAATTAAATCACACTATAATACTTGTTGCATTGATCATATTTAATCTGATCTATCGCTCATCACTGTTCATCATACTAAAAAATTTGCAACTTCTCAACTAAGGCCATCTCCAACCGAAAAACTCAAACTCAAACCCATTTTGCAGTAACTATCCCATTTTGCAGTAATTCATCTCCAACCGAAAAACTCATTCTCAAACCCAAAAGAATATTCTTAGAATATTCTCTTTTACACCAACTTTTATAACTTTTCAATACTACCCACATATTTTACAACTTTACAAATTAAACCACACTATTATTTTAAATTCAATTTTGGACTTTATGTTATTAAAATTAATTATACATAATAAAATCGGAGAAATAAATATTCATTAAAAATTAAAATTTCACTACACAAATAAAATTAAAAATTACGATTCACAAGATGAAAAATTAAAAATTACAACACACAAGATGAAAAATTAAAAATTACAACACACATGAATATTAGAAAATGTATTAGTAAATGTATTTGTATAATGTGTATTAGTAAATGTATTTTTTACGCTAAATAATTTGTGTAATGTACTTTTTATGTTAACTATTTTGTGCTTTTTATTTATTGATGTATTATAATTTTATTTTACAATTTTTTAATATTAAGATGATACCATATGAATAAAAAAATTTCTTATCTTACATTTGTATTTTAACTACATCTTCATTTCAAAAGTGAAGAAGATACAAATACATCTGTGTACCGATTGAATCAAAACTGTTATTTTAAAAATATATGATTTAGTGCAAATTTACACTCTAGACCATATATGGTCTAGCGCATATATTCACATTTTAAAAATTGTTACTTTTTTTTCATTGTATTAGTGCAAATTTACACTCTAGACCATATATGGTCTAACGCATATATTCACATTTTAAAACTGTTACTTTTTTTCATTGTATTAATGCAATTTTACACTCTAGACCATATATGGTCTAGCGCATATATTCACATTTTAAAAACTGTTACTTTTTTTCATTGTATTAGTGCAAATTTACACTCTAGACCATATATGGTCTAACGCATATATTCACATTTTAAAACTGTTACTTTTTTTCATTGTATTAATGCAAATTTACACTCTAGACCATATATGGTCTAGCGCATATATTCACATTTTAAAAACTGTTACTTTTTTTCATTGTATTAGTGTAAATTATAATATTACAAGATATATATAATATTATATGTAATTGAAATTAATTATACATAATAAAATCGGAGAAATAAATATTCATTAAAATATATAATAGTATAAGATATATATAATATTTATTATTTAAATATTATACTATATAAAATTTATAGTCTTTTTAAAATATATTAATAAAATATAATATAAAATTAACTAAAATAATATTGTATTTCATATTATATTTCTTTTATTAAAAAAAAAATTAACAAATACAATATACATACAATTATATATATATATATATAAAAGAATAGGGGTGTTTAGAATATAAATATAGAATAGAAGGACTTATATGTAATAATTAAAAGATCAAACGCAAATTTTGCAGCACAACGCAAATATGCGTTTCTAGAGGAGAGAGAGAGCCCCTTTACGCATTTTGCAGATCCGGTTCCAGTTCGGGTGGAGAGAATTCTACTATAAAATTTGAGTTTTGCGTCTCGGTTGGAGACGGTCTAAAACCACACAAGTTCGTAGCTTTTGGACAAAGAGTTGGACGAATCTAGCATCAAATTTTATGAAATACTATAATGAAGTGAAAAAGTAGAATTGAAAGCTTATGGCTGTTTTGAGGTTTTTACCCTCACCAAGATAGTACCAACTATTAACACCCCTTCACTCACACACACACACACACACACACACACACACACACTCTTTTATGCGAGTATCTATATAGTTTGTTTATATAATTGTTTGTTTTTTTCATTTCTCTTTTCGCCCCACCATTTCCAATTCTATTTCACTGCAAAAATCAGTGCTGAGTAACTTAATGTAGCCGGATGGATGTTTCAGCTTTCCCATTGAGCGTGCCCAATTGACCGGCCGCTGAATTATTTGAATATAATAGGAAATGGTCGGGTTTTTGCTGGCGTACGACGTCGTTTTTCTCCCGCCGGACTTGTCAAATCTTGATTTATTTCGTTTTCCTTTCTGAGATCTTTTAGTTGATCCGAGAGTCAGAACTCAATGGGGCACTGTTGCAGCAAAAACGTCACGGTTTCCGTCGACAAGGAGGGCTCCAGCTCCGCCGCCGCCAACCACCGCCGACAGGCCCCCGCATCGGGATCGCAGACGCCGTCCGCCGCCGCGAACGGGGCGGCACGAGGCACCCCAGCTCAGTCATTCACTACGAGTCCATGGCAGAGTCCCTACCCCGCCGGAATCGCGCCATCTCCCTCGCCGGCGAGGACTCCCGGACGCAAGTTCCGGTGGCCTTTGCCACCTCCATCGCCGGCGAAGCCCATTATGTCGGCTTTGTTCAAGCGGCAGCCAGCCACGCAGCCAGCGAGGCCAATTCCAGAGGAGGCGGCCGGCGACAGTAGCGAGCGGCAGCTTGATAAGAGCTTTGGGTATTCAAAAAATTTCGCGGCCAAGTATGAGCTGGGCAAAGAGGTGGGGCGGGGGCATTTTGGGCATACTTGTTGGGCTAAAGGTAAAAAAGGGGAGCTCAAAAATCAACAAGTAGCTGTAAAGATCATTTCCAAAGCCAAGGTATACAATAATTTTTCATTTTTTTGTTTTATCTATATGTTTGTCTAAACTTCTGTTTTTTAGCTGTTTGATGGAATCTTAACTGATCTACTCAAATTGGGTTTTACTGATCTGGAGAATTTGAATCTTGTCTGCTTACACTTCAATGCTTGTTTTATTCTTCAAGTTTGTGGCAGAAAAAAAATGTTTGGCCTGTTGCTAGAAGTGGGCTCCTAATGGCCATTGTAAAACAGCCTCAATGTCACTAAATCATGCTCCTCTTCAAGGACTGAGTATAACTAGGTCTATTTAAATAAACGTCTTCACGATTTGTTCATAGTAGAAGCTAAAAGTAGTTTTGGATTGGATGTTTTCTGTTGGTAGTGTTTGCAAATACAAGCTAAAAGTTGTATCAGTCAAAAAGGAATGCTTATCTGTAGGTAAAGTCAAACTAGCCGAAGAATTATAGATTCTAAACCCTCATTACCTTGTTTTTAGGCCTTGACTGATTGTCTGCAGTTGAAGACATGGAATTTCTTACTTTTTAAACCACTTCTTTCTTTTTTAGTAATTCCTAACACCCCTTGGATCTTGAAACGCCAATATTGATCATTATTCGGAAAATTGCTCCGATACCTCTAACATACAAGTTGGGTAGAAGCACATAATTAAATACCTGCTATAAGATCAGAATGTGTGATCTAGAAGCACCCTAATGAGACTGAAATTAATATATTGGATTCTTATATTTAGGGTATCCTTTGAAGTTGTGGTACATTTCAGTAGCTAATACATAATATTTTTCAGATTGTGTACATGAATTTTGTGTTGAGGATATTTATGATCTATATGTTCGGTGTTCCCCTCCCTCGCCCACATGTGAAAATATTCATTCTATTATGTTGGCTGGTCAATGTTTAACTTTAGAATATGGAGTTGCTTATGATATTGGAAATTCATTGGTAGATGACGACAGCAATAGCAATTGAAGATGTACGTCGGGAGGTGAAGATATTGAAGGCCTTGTCTGGACATAAAAATCTGATCAAGTTTTATGATGCATTTGAAGATGCCAATAATGTCTATGTGGTTATGGAGTACGTGACCTTGTTCTGAGTTCTGTTTTGTGTTATTGAGCTTCTATGATTTTTTTCTTCTTTTTTCACTTGCATAATATACAGATAAAATTTCACTATAAGCTCGCAGCATATTTAAGAGCCTATAAGCAGTTTATGATGACCCCAACATTTTCTTAATAAATAGAAAATGATTTTGGCAACCTTTTCCATTTCAACTATTTCGCACAACTGGTGTTGCTAACATTTTTCAAGGTTTATCATCTAAGTTTTCTGAAGTCCTAAAACTGCAATCTCAATTTTTAAACAGAATAGAGTAAACTTTAAATAATCAATGCCAGAAATCCTTTTATTTGTTTCACATCATGAACATTTTTTTTTTATTGTCTTCAGTTGCATGTTCTTGTTTTGTGCACGCATGAAAACCTGCACTTTCTAGAAGTATAGTTAACTGTAAGTATTGACGAAAATTGTATTTCCACAGATTGTGTGAAGGAGGTGAGCTGCTTGATCGTATTTTAGCACGGTATTCTTTGGATGAACATATGTCTCTAATTATTTACCTACATAAGCAGTTAAGAAATCAACTTTTTTATCTACTTTAGTGCTTTATTTGGTGCAGAGGGGGAAGATATACAGAAGAGGATGCCAAGAAAATAGTGATGCAAATGTTGAGTGTCGTTGCCTTTTGTCATCTACAAGGTGTTGTACACCGAGATCTAAAGCCCGAGGTATAGCAAGCTAGTGTTCAATATGTCTTGTCCTTGAAAGAAACACAATTTAATTTGTTGGTTTGCATTAATGTGAACAGAATTTCCTGTTTGCCACAAGAGATGAAGATTCTCCTATGAAGGTCATAGATTTTGGTCTATCTGATTTTATCAGGCCAGGTAAAGATCCCATTTTTAGCACAACTTCACTGCAAATGGTTGTCAATTATTGGCATGAATGAAGAAGAAATAGAAGCTTCTTTATTCTAATTTGATATTTTATTGTTTTGCTGCGGTGAAGTAAACACTTTGTTCAGAAACAAAAACTTTTTCCTACAATTCCTACAGCCTCCTTGATGAAAATAGTTGACGAATAGTGCAAGTTGGTACATATTTGATTTTACCCCGTAATGCGACAAATTTGAATTGATAAATTTTTGTTGACAATTCTTCACTACTACTTAATTGTAGTAGTGGAAAAAGTCAATTTTAAGGGGGCAGGAGTTTGAATCAAATCTTGATTATCTCGTTTCAAGTGAAATGACGAAAGCAATAAAATTGGGCTGGATATCTAATGAACTTCTAATTGTAGAAAAAAAAATCATGATCTTATTGCAAATTTTGCAATTTAGCATTTCAATGCACGACTTTTTAAATTTTTTGCTATTCATGACACCAGGCTTAAATTTGACCCGATGTAGGTAGCATGGGATCTGCATATGTCCACATGAATTTTCATCATAAAAATTAATTACAAAAAGATCATCACTTATTCGAAATAACAGATTTAACCAAACATTTTTAAGTTCGCATATAAAACACATGAGCTTTTAAAGTTCTCCTGTAATTCATTACATCAAGCCTAAATCTGGGCTAATCTAGCTCATCTTTTGCAAACTAATGTCAAATACACACTGCACATAAAAAAAAAAAAGAAGGAAAAGATTTTTAGGTTGTCGAATCTCAAATATGGTCATGGGTAAACGAATATGATATTTTTTATGTAATTTCTCAAAAGATGCTACACGAGAGGTGCTAAGATGCGAAAACATCATAATTCTAAAATGAAAAAACACCAAGATTCTATCTCAAGGAATATCATTGTTTTAAATATAGTGTTGAAATTGACTGACGGTTATAAGAAAAGAACGAAACATAATTGAAGTTCGATAATGATTGTGTGCCAACATTCTTTTTTGTGTTTGTGCATATTCTGCTTCATGTTTTTTACTTATTATTTTCCAATTAACATGCTTGACCATAAATATTGAGTCCATCTAAGCTAAGTCAGCCTACATTTAGGCATGATGTATCAAATTACCTGAAATTAAAAAATATCATATATTTATATGCAGACTTGAAAAATTGATTATATTTGTGAATTTTTATAAAGTTGGTGATTTGTTTTGTAATTAAATTTTATGACGAAAATCCACTTTTATTTGTACAAAGTCCACCTTAGCTAAATCAAGCCTGATTTAAGCCTAATGTTTGGATTTGCAATTTATGAAAAAGTCGTGTATAATATGCTAACTAAAAAGGTTTAGTTTAATTTTGCAGTTTACGAAAACGTCATGACTTTTCTTACAAACCTTTAATTAACTAAATTAAATAGAGGCCTAATAAACCAAACTATAATAAAAATCCATACAAAGAAAATTGAAGGAGACAAATATATGGAGAAATAGCCCTTGCTCGACTAATCTACTCAATTATGACATCGATTTTACTATATTAAGGAATTACTAGCCTTAGATAGCAGCACGTTTTGCTACTCAAAATACAATATTTTTTAACAGAACACTTCCTTCTATAAACCTAACTATTGGATAAACTAGAATACTCTCTCTAGATGTAATGCAATAGTAGTCTTGGGTTTTAGAAAAATAGGGTAGTTTAAGTAATAGATGTACACGCTTGACCTATTGGATAAACCCAATAGTACTTGCTAGTTTCTAACGACGAATCAAACTGAACATCAATTACGAATTGTGGGTAGAATTCGGGAGATAGATAGACAAACTCTCTAAGTGATGAATAAGATTGAACATCTCACGGTTTATCATTCAAAATAACACAAATGATTTCACACTAATAGGAAAATAATAATCACCAAAATTAATTTAACGTAGTCAAGTTGTAGATTTCTACATCACTGTGACTAGAACAAGCCTACTAGCCTAAAATAATAAATAAATAAAAGAGAAGAATATGATTATCCTCCTTCGTTTCCTCTGCGGTCTGGTTTTTCTCCTCATTTACTGTCAGCTTGTTTTGTGCAGTACTTTCCTTCTGCTATATATATTCGTAAGCTGCATGGATTTTCGTTTTGTGGATGCCCAATCTCCTAGAAAAGCAGTCAATCCATGTGGACAGGCCAATGTTTGTTGTACCTTTTTCTTATCTTTTCTGCAAAGCAAGTTTATAGCCCACCAAATCACACTATGATGCCAACCCCTAAGAGTAATATGGGCTTTAGAATCTTCATAACTTTTACATATATAGCGCCTTAACTCCGACCATTGGCCTTTGCCTGCTTGAACTCTGGTTTGATGTACTTACGTGCTCGGAAATACTTCAGTACTTTTAAAATACATTATAAAAATATCGAAGCAAGATAGTCCATCCAAAGAGTAAGTAAATCAAATGTGCGACTAAATGAAGCGTATAAAAACACTTAAAATATATAAAACACTTACAATTTCCGACTTATCAATCTCAAATGCCTATACATCCTTAAATTTTCCTTTAAAGAGCCAAATGTTGCCCTCCGGCTTCTGTAACATCACAATTTTGGTAATGTCTTGTACTGATTATATAATTATATACCATGAAGTGCAATGTGAATATTATCTGAATTTGCTAATTTTTTTTTTTTTTTTTTTTTTTTTTTTTTTTTTTTTTTTTTTTTTTTTTTTTTTTTTATCTTCTGGTTTCCCCACGAGACAATCTTCTTCCAAATGTATAATTTTTCAGAATTATTTCAGATCAACGTTTGAATGATATTGTGGGGAGTGCATACTATGTTGCACCTGAAGTGCTCCACAGATCTTACAGCAATGAAGCTGATATTTGGAGTATTGGCGTAATTACGTACATCTTGTTGTGCGGAAGCCGTCCCTTTTGGGCGCGCACGGAATCTGGAATCTTTCGCTCGGTGCTGAGAGCCGATCCCAACTTCCATGATGCCCCATGGCCATCCGTGTCGGCCGAGGCCAAAGATTTTGTGAAGAGGCTTCTGAATAGGGATCACAGGAAAAGAATGAGTGCTGCACACGCACTAGGTATGTATATTATATGATATATTATTCTTTGTGTGGCTCTGGATATTATATAATTTATTATATAAATGCAACGTTTCTGTTCTTTGGGGAGCTTGGAAAGGGTTTGCTCTAAATATGAAGAACCAACTATATATTAAATTAACTGATTAAGGATGTTATTACTTACTAGGTTACAAGTTATATACACTTGAAAGGATGGTACTGGTTAAGTAAATACAGACCTTAAGTCCCAGTGTTATTTATTATTTCTTTATTTTTTTTTTATTTTTTT